TTGCAACCTAAACCAGAACAGGTGAGCTGTGATGAACAACAAATGCTGACACTTAAGCTACCAATGAAAGAAGCTAAGCGAATAACCAACCCACGTTTTCTATAACCAACCTAAACTATAACATGCTACACACATGGGTCCATATATTCAGCATAACAAGCAGTGCAAGTCATTCTAAAATCATAAGCATGAAGCAAAACGATGCACGAAACAAGCAAAAGATGGCACGAAGAAATGAAGAAAGATTAAAAAATAAAACTTGGCCAACCCCATTAAAACCAAATGAATGTGCCTTTTCTTCTAGAACATAAAATTTCAAAAGGCAATGAAAAAAAAGGTATAAGCATGAAATTACTACTAATAATCTAAGCTAATTACTTAAAACAAGTATATGATCAAGGCAACTAATTAGACAGCATAAATAATAAATAATGTAGAAATCAATAAAGAATTTTCACTAAGATACACTAAATTGCACTCCATCAAGATCACCCTATTAATAAACAATACTTCAAAAGATGGGCAAAATACTCATTTCATAAAGCATAAAGCTTATAAGCAGCTCAATATACAACAATCGTACTGTAAATACTACTACAAAACCTAATGGCAGAAGCATGGGTAATTAACAACAGAAATGGAAGAAGACAACATACAGTTTCTGGTCATCGTCAATCTCGAGCTTCTTCTGGCATCCAGTAGTCGGATTCGCAATATTGAACTACAACAAAACACAATAACGAAAATTAAAAAAATTTCAGACAAATTACATCGTACAGAGCTTACAAAACCATGAATCCGCGTGTTGTGATAAAATGGATAGATTGAGGAAAGAGAAACCTTCATCTTCGATGCAGTTCAGAAGAGGCAGCAAAAATGGTGCTTGAAAAATGCTCGGCCCCTGTAACGAGATTAGGGTTTGGGTCGTCACTTTGGCGCAATTTATATAGGTATACTGCTTTATAGGATTTGTGAACGGGCCGTCATCCAAGCCCAGCACTGCTCGTGGGTCTTGACTACTTTTTACTGCTTCGCTTAGGGCTTTTTAGGCCCAATTAGTGTGTGTGCTAAGGAACTGTAAAAGAATTACTCCATTCACCTTCACCAAAAAATTAAGAGAAGTGGCTGTGTTTGTTAAAAAAAAAAACTCAAACCAAATTAATTTTACTTTAAATTTAACTCAATTATAATCAGTGACGGATCTAGAATTTTACTCAGGGGGGCCCGATTTTAAATGTTAAATTGTAGTGTAAGTCGAAACGCTCATTTTATATAAAAATGTATTTATTATAAATAGAAATATCGATATATGTACCATCAAGTTTTTAAAAACTTAGAATATGTATCACCCTCAAACGAATTTTTTTTTAAATGTGATTTTAGGTATTTATAATTTAACTTCAACAACTATAAGTTGTGGAAAAATAAGTTTTTTGGTTGAAAAATTGATTTAAATTGAATTTTTGCATTACATTGTGATGGGTCTGCTCTCAGATCTGGAACGGTTTGGTGAGAAAACGTCCGGATCTGGGATGAACCGGTATGAACGAGCTTAGATCTGGCCTGATGACCTTCGAGCCGTTGCTGAATCGTACGAACACCTGCAAGAACTCAACGCCGGAGGGTTTTTCCGGCGTAGAGCCTCCGACGCTCAAGTCAGTATGTGAGAGAGATGATGGGAGCTGCTATCAGAGCAGCAGCAGTAATAGAAATGTCTGGAATGAATGGGAGTTAGGGTTTTGGGATTACCTCAGTCCTTTATATAGGAGTACAATATATACCTGAAGTCCCCAAAATGCCCTGGCCGACTTAAAGGAAATGTCCAGAATACCCCGGTCGGTTCATATTCCGCCTACTTCCTAGTCAGCATCTAGATCCTTCCTTAGCTTCCTTCTTATCCTTAACTTTCCTTCAATATGCGGAGGTGTGTCAAAGCTATCGGACACCTCGAACTGCAAGACTCCTTCAGTCGACTCGAGGTATCGAATCGAGTCGACTGGATCGCATTCCATCACTAATGGTCCCTGATTCGTCTGATCGCTGTCGGGGCATATGTCGACTCGTTCCAGTCGACGGATACATGTCGACTCGGTCGAGAGCCGGGCTTCTTGATTGAATATCATGAAACCCTACCGGCGGAGTCGACTGTGTTATAGTCGACTTTGTCAGTTCCGAACCACGATGATATGAACCGCTATGAGCCGATTGTGACCATGCCGCGGTTACTGAACCGTGGCACGATAGTATGGCTATATCACATTGCATAACATTTTTGTTGATGAATGCTTTTCAATTATTATTTTTTAAGAAAAAAATAAATAAGATTAAATATATGTGATTACACAAAAAAAAAAAAGAGTAAAAATTCAACATTAAAAAATGTATCAATCCAATTAAATGGTAGGATTTATAATCACTAAATCGATTTACAATTAAGAGACCGAAAGAGTAATTTATTATAAATATTTCCAAAAACTTATCTAGTCATGTAAAATAAATAAATTGCTAGTACATTTTTTAATAAATAAATAATATTATTAGTATAAATTAAAATAATATAGACAACATTTTACACATATTTTAAAGTATTTTCTTTATATATATATATATATATTGATTTTTTTAAAAAAAAAAAAAAAGATGAGGGGGGCCCACGGGCCCCCTCTGGGCCTAGTATGGCTCCGTCATTGATTATAATTCACCCTGACTATAATCAATATTATTAATATAATTAAATAATAACAACTAATTATTTTTACACACCATATCAACTTTAATTAACTATTCATTCACTATATCATTTTAACTAATCACCACTTCATATCATCTCTTTCCTTGCATTAAACCAATTTGATTATTTTATTTAAATAATATAAATTCAAAATCCCACTAACAACTAATTACACCATTTTTTTTTTTTTTCTAATTTAACACTATTTAACTCAAACAAATTCATTTTGAGTTAATTCATTCAAATTATTCCTTTAACACACCCTTACATACCTACCGTCTATATAAAAGTATATTGCATATATACAATTTGTAGAATCTTTTGTCAATTAGGAAATTAGTGGACATTATATAATTTGTTTCTCTCTCCAAAATATAATTCATGCAATTAATCTGTCTGAAATAATTTTTTTTTTAAAAAAAATTAACCAACTATGATAGCCACATTTATGGGTTGCACAATTTTTTTCAATCCAATCAATCTTCTTTCTTTTGATTTTATTCTCGGCTGGTTCTGAACGTTGGTTGATATTACAATACGTCAGTTAGTTAACATTTTCGATCCCCCTGAAACACTAAAAGAATCTATCGTTTTATTGCTGAATTCAAAAATTCAAACTGCTTTTCTGTACATCGGCGTCTTGCAGTCATGGAAAAAAATCATTGATGAACTTAAGAAAAAAAATAATTGAACGTGCTGAGAAAAAAATTGTGTTCCTGATCTCAGTTCATAACTCATAAAGGTATGTACGTGTTTGTTTTTCTGGTCTGGTGTTCAATAGCAATGCCAGGGACGGATCTAGAAAAATAAACTAGGGGGGGCAAAGTTTTTTTTTTTTTTTTTTTATGATAGACATATACTTAACAACAAAGATACGAAGTTGCAATTTTGGAATTAAAGAAAAAGGTTGTAATAAAAAAATAAATACCTTTCAAACTTCATTTCTATTAGAATTGTGCTCGACGTTCTTTCAAGTCACGAAACCCATCAATGATTGATTCGGTACTAATAGATCTTGCAATTTCTCTTTCGATGAAGATAGTCAAAGAATTTAAAAGAAAGTCATCTTTCATTTTACTTCGAAGTCTAGATTTAACAATAGCCATAGCCGAGAATGCACATTTTCTTGTCGCCGTAGACACGGGAAGAGTGAGAATCAGTCTGATTAATCTATCAATCAACAGGTAAACCAAAGAATTTCTACTTGTTGTCATACACTAATAGATAATATAATAAATAAGATATAAATAAAAGAACTTACAAATATAATTATCCAGAAAGAAGATGATGAATGCTCAAATCTCAATTGATTTTTTTTTTTTCTGGTTCGCTCACTGCTGGAGTCTCTCTCGCAATTTTCTCTCAATATTCCTGTGGCGGAAAAGTCCCAATTTGGCAGCTTATTTTTCCTTTTATGTGGTCTACTTTAAATCTTTAATTATTTGTTTAATGGAATCAAGAATAATTAATTAAGCTAATTTGTTATATTAATATATTATATGTGCTTGTTAAAGGAAAAGATGTGGAAGTGAGATTGGGAATCGTGCATCTTCAAAACATGATCCTATTTGACTATTTCTATTTAATAAAATATTTACTTTTATTTATACTTTACTTTATAATTTAAGGGGAGAAATGATTAACTATGTATAGGATATAATTATTATATACACATACTACTAAGAGATAAAAAAAACTTTGGGGGGGACCATGGCCCCCCCAACCATAAACGTACATCCGTCTCTGAGCAATGCTGTTGTGTTTTGTTTTGTTTTTTTTTTTTTTATCATTTCTTATGTGACATGCCCATAGTCGATTTATGGATTTTCAGGAATATGTGTAACGTAACTGTGTTTATCCATCACAATAGAGAATGTATGAACAATGAATACGTTGGTTATCAGTTATCACAATGGAGAAATTTGAAGGAGATAAGAAAAATCGATTATCTATATGATATCTAGTTTAACCAATCAAAAACGGTTTTATTATCGATCTCGGACAAATGGGCTTAACCCTATTGAATAGTGCGCGGCCCAGCAAAAGCCCAAGCCACATTAATATGAGATTACCATCTCAATCTTAATTTCAAAAGCGAAATATAATTATATAAATGAGTGTTGTGTACTTGCTGAAATCAACACTCGTTTCTCAAACCCTGTCTTCCACTCTCTCTCTCTCTCTAAAAAAGCAAAGGAAAATTCCCAATCGCCGTCCCTTCTCTCTACAAACGAAAACAAATTTCAAAATCCCTCCTCCACAAATCTGAATGGCGTCCCCACGCGAGGAAAACGTGTACATGGCCAAGCTGGCGGAGCAGGCGGAGCGATACGAGGAGATGGTGGAGTTCATGGAGAAGGTCGTCGGCGCCGTTGACGGCGACGAGCTCTCCGTGGAGGAGCGCAACCTCCTCTCCGTCGCCTACAAGAACGTCATAGGCGCCCGCCGCGCCTCCTGGAGGATAATCTCCTCCATCGAGCAGAAGGAGGAGAGCCGCGGCAACGAGAGCCACGTGTCCGCCATCAAGGGTTACAGATCCAAGATCGAGTCGGAGCTCACCAACATCTGCGACGGCATCCTCCGGCTCCTCGACACCAAACTCATCGGATCTGCCTCCAGCGGCGACTCCAAGGTCTTCTATCTGAAGATGAAGGGCGACTATCATCGTTACCTGGCGGAGTTCAAGACCGGGGCCGAGAGGAAGGAGGCTGCCGAGAATACCCTCTCCGCCTACAAGGCTGCTCAGGTTTGATGTATTAATTTTGCTGATTTATTCATTTTTCCTTTTCAATTTTCGTATTAGTTTCTGGATCTATGAAGGGTATATGCGGCTGGGGATTAGGTTTATGGATCTGGAGAACATATTATATTGTTTGGAGTTTGATGTCAATTACTATACGAATTCTACTGTTATGTTGTTTTGCACCTGATAAGTTTCTGCGGCCAAATTGATGCTATTATCTGGTGAAATTTCTTAGATTTGGTTTCTGTTGTTCGTTCTGTAGCTGCTTTGAGTTCATTTGTGATGTGATATGCAGCTTCTTTCTGTTTTGATGCAATTGATTTGGTAATGACTCGGGCTTTTGAGTTTCTTCCTTATATGTATACTTGCTTGTTAGATCTCTAGGCTAAATCACAATTTTTTTTGATCTCTGAAGTAAACATTGATCTTGTTGCTTGCTTTAGTGTTAACCCGATGTGACCTCTATAGCTTTATCAGCTTAATGTTTGGTGTTCTCTAGTAATGGCCATCAGTTATCAATTAGTAATAATCTTGGGTGTGTATCAACATTGGGTTTCTCTGATCCAGTAATTCCTGAATAGTTTATGACTGACTGATTCAATGAGTTTTCGGCATCTGCAGGACATTGCTAATGCTGAGCTCGCACCAACTCATCCTATCCGACTCGGCCTGGCCCTCAACTTCTCTGTTTTCTACTACGAGATCTTGAATTCTCCTGACCGTGCATGCAATCTTGCGAAGCAGGTATGTTGCCCAATCCATTAACATTTGTTTAGTTTGAGTTATGTTCTAATCAAGAATCCGCAAGCGTTAGCATTAATTATCTATCAATTTTGGCCTATAACAACAGCTGTTGTGAACTTTGTTGGTTATTGGTTTTCTCTAATGTGTACTTATGACTTAACAAAGGCTTTTGACGAGGCAATTGCTGAGCTCGATACTCTTGGAGAGGAATCGTACAAGGACAGCACTCTCATCATGCAGCTCCTCCGTGATAACCTCACCTTGTGGACTTCCGACATGCAGGTATAAGATATGCTCGTGTATATACATATTTTTGTACATACAAATACACGTAGTTTGTCTATCGAGCGCGTGTGACACTGTATTTAATATGTATATTGACATTTTTTGTCCATTGATGTGCAGGATGATGCTTCTGAGGAGATCAAAGAAGCACCAAAACCGGACAACGAGTAATGGAGTTTTGTGCTTTTAGGATTTGGGTGTGTTTTTTTTTCCCCTGCTTGCGTTCTTCTTTATAGTAATTCGACCTTTTTATTTCTCGAATCAAGAATTGCTGCTTGCAGCATGTAGTCACGATTATTAGCTTCTACTTTATCTTTGGGCGACCTCTGATGTTAGATGTCTTTTCATTCACCAGTTGTTAATTTTGATTTTTCATCATTTTATCTACCTCCTTGAAGACTGATTGATTTATGCCATGAATTTAGCTATAACTTATATGCTTATTATCTTTTTGCAGTACGTGGTCCTTTGTTTTGATCTAAATATTAGGTTGGCATACATTTTTTCTAGTGTTCTATAATCTCCCCGTAGGTGGGGTGTTCCCTTTTATGCGCTCGTACAATATACTAATTAATGGGGGAGATACTATGGTCTCGTTACGGAAATAATCCGTCGGAGTTTGTAACCGTTAGATTAACTATCACCGACGGTTGCATGATGTTCTAAAGGTTGCAAATCTCAATAGAATGGTTACATAACGGGACCGTAGCTCCCTTAATTAACTAATATATGATTAGTTTAACATGAAAATCAAGTTTGGAACTTGTTTTGAAGTTTCACTCTTAGTCAATTTCATAAATAAGAAACCCATCTACAAAATGTACAAAATAATCATATAATATAAGTGGAAGGGTCAACTTCAACTTTAAAATGCCAGCTTATTAAGAGCATCCACAATGCTTTGGGTCTCTTTTTGCATATGTGGCAAATAAATAGACTTAAGTCCATAATGACATGGACAAACCCAAACTAAAAAATCCAAAATCTATCCAATGCAAAACAAAAAAGTACTAGGTCTAGAATACATGACAACCAATAAAAATGCTCTAATATATTTCATTTATTAATAGAAAAACTAAATGAGGAATAAATGATGAGTGCTTGGGTTTGTACTTGGGTCTAAAATAGACCCAAGTGTGGACTAGGTCTCATTTTTTTATTGCCACATAAGCTAGACTAGGTCTACATTTAATTGCATTGGAGAACACTTTTTTATAGACTAGGTTTATTTCTTACATGGCATGTAACTTTTTTCTAAGAGACCCAAAGCATTGTGGGTGCTCTAAGGCATGATACACCTGTTGAGGAGTGGTTGGTTAGTTTTCCATAAATTAACTTTGTGTGGAAAAAGTGCCAGCTGAGCTGACCATCTTTATTTCTTTAAATAATGATATATGTGTAGTATATACAGAGCATTTGGTCATGACAGATGGATAAAAGTTGGCATCATTTTGTTCCTTTATTGATACTTTACAGTTGTGTTTAGGGTAGACCACTAGTCCCCTGTGCTGCTACTGTGCCACTTAAAAAGCCCTATGGAACATTTTGGTTGAAAGTAGCTGTTTTATCTTGATTGCATTTGGCTATTTGGTTGTTGGCTGTTAATTTGTTATTGTTTGATTCTAATGAAATGGAGCTCATTCAATTGGCTTTAATTATCAAAGAAAAACATAATTTCATTAAGGTGAGCTAGCTTCTGATAAACTATCTAAAACAAATCAGAAGCAGAAATCTGACATCTGAAAACTCCAATGCTACATATTCCTAACAAAAAGAAAAACAAAAATATCGAAGAAAAAACAAGACAAAACTTCATTTCGAGCATAAGAAGAGATCATCGATCATCAACTAACCGGATAACCTTCAGCGGCATTTTATCAATGCTGAGTCGCGACTGCCCTGTGCTCGATCGGAGATGAGGCAGGTTCCTTCCTGTGTAAGCTCCTCCTAATAGTCAACAAACCGCCGACCCTTTGAAACATCGTCTTCACTCTCTCTTGTGGGACCCTCTCTCCGTGTCCAAATCTCCCGAGCGGTCAAAAGTCCTCTGACCTCCTCACCGAAAACAACCCCCTCTCCCTAGCCGACTGTGGGGTCCGCGGCTTGGACTTGGGCGTCTTTGCATTCGCGTCGAATATCGAACCCCTTAACGCCTCTGCCTTCACCGGATCCTTGTCGAGCTACCTCTCTCCCTTCGGCTCGTTCATAAACTTCAAGTCCTTGAGATTGAAACTAAAGTTCTTGTCCATGTTATTCTCATTATTTTCATCCAAAATAATCACTCCATCAAGATTCAGTGGAGATTGTGTACAGATCATACAATAGAAGATTCAAAGTCGTTTATTCGTATCCCGACGAGTTTATAAGGCTCCCCGTCGAATATATTTCATCTCGCAGCTTTAGGTAATCACTCGACGCAACCGGCGACCTTGGAGGAGCTCCACCGCGACCACTCCTGTTCAGCCACCCCTCGTAGTGTACAGTGGAGTCCTAGAACGCACAACCCGTGCAAAATCGAGTTGCAACCCAAGTGCCCCGGAGGCCCGCGCGCGACTACGAAGGCGACCAAGTTCATCGCGGCGTGCAGACAACGTCCTGGTACACTACCGCGCCACAATCACGCGCACCGCCTGCTGCAGCCCGTGTTCTTCGCGCGACGCCCCATGACTTACCAGTGCGCGACCATGCCATTATGCAGCAACCCGAGTAGAGATCCATGCGCGACTCGCGTGCACCAGACATAACCCTAACAGGACCCGCGATGTTTTCACAGCCCGAGTAATGATCCGTGTGCCCCTGTGTGACCCGCGAGCGCGCCCATGCGCCTGTACGCATGAAGGCGACGAGCAGCGAGTCATTCCTCGCATACAGGTGACCAGAAGCAGCCTGTGCACGTGCAGCCCTAACCCGGCGCGAGTAGACTCGAGCCCAGCGAGTCATTCCTCGTGACCAGTGACCAGGCCCGGCCCAGACTAGTCCAGTCTGGCCCGACCAGACCGGTTTAACTCGGTTCAGCTCAACCCTATAGCCCCGGTTCGTGCCCAAGACCATTCGCGAGCGGTTCGATTAATCCACCGAAGGTCTGAGACGATTCGACGAGCCCGACGAGCAACCAAAGACGCATTAATGAGGCCAATTTCGGTTGCCCAACAGAATTTGCGATTCAGGCGATCCCCTACAGCAGAAATCAGAAACGTTTTAGAGTCGGCAAAAAATTTAAACCGTAAGTCCTAAACCTAACTATAAATTACGCTGCGTTAAAATTTATTTTTCAATAAATTTGAATGTACATATAGCCGATATCATAATAGAACCCAATACCGAGAACGCCAAGTGCCTTTTGATATTTTGAGCCCCTATAGATGTGTTAGAACATCTATAAAAATTCCATGAAGTGAATTGGTTACATACATAAAAAAAAAAATTTAAGAGCTTTTTGCATACATTTACAAATTTCATTAAGCATCTTGTGTTCTTTGTCTTCGTTTCAATGTTGAGAGTTCAGAAATTTGAGTATTGTTCGCTGAAGGTTTGTGTATTTGAGTTGCCGTTAAACACAAATCAAAAGTCGTATCTTGGATGCGTTAGTCGTGAACCATAGGGGACTATTTCGTCTCAAGAAGAACGTATCATACGTGTATCGACTTTATTTTATTTTTCTCGTTCTCCTTCTGATTTCTTAAGTCATTTTCTCGTGCTTCACATACAATACACAATTTCTAACAAGTTGTAACAATGTGTTGTTGTTCGCTTTTGGCTTGACTAAGTTCTGCTTGAGGTCAATAGGGTTTAATTATCAAAGACAAACATAATTTCATGATTAAGGTGATATTGTATAGATCACATTCGGGTTTAATTTTGTTCATCCCATTCCCAACACAAATTCTATCTCTTGCATCTCCACTTAAAGGGACAGGCTTGCAGTATATATATTACTGCCATTGCTAACTTCAGTTACAAAGGAATCCAAATATTATTGATGTACACCAGCAAATTACAAGCTCCTGTTTCATTTCTTGGTGATCAAGTATCTAATTAAGTAAGAGCTTTCATTTGCTGCAGTAATCTTTTCTTGTCCTGTCAAATGCTTTTTTCCGACTAACTACGCTAAGAAATACCACAGAGTGGTACAACTTCGTATCTGCCTCGCAAACTATGGAGGGTTTCTGTCCGAGCGACAAATATACGGTCGACCTTTTAAGTATGCAAATCACGGTTTAACTTTCGTTTGAGGTGTGTTTTCATGTGGTCTGCACTGCATATTCTACCTGAAAAGGCGAAAAATGGGGGGAAAAAGAACAGTAAAAAAATGAAACAGAGACTCAAACAGAGCTCATTGATTGAAGCATGAGTTTGTGCTGTAGATGCAAGATACCAATCATCAGTGATTGCGAACAAAAGCTAAGAAAGTGAAAAAACAAATTGTTCGAAAGCGCTTCGTTCATGTGCCCAAACCATAAATCTACAACACTACTCCACATTGCTCTCAGCTTCTGATAAACCTATCTACAACAGATCAGAATCATAAATCGACATCTGAAAACCCCAATGCTACTTGTTCCTCTCACAAAACGAAAAAAATCAAAGAAAAAAACAGGACAAAATCCATTTCAAGCATAAGAAGTGATCATCATCATCATCATCGATCATCAACTAACCGGATAACCTGCAGCAGCATTTTTATCAATGCTGAGTCGCGACCGCTTGCTCGACCGGAGATGAGGCAGTTTCCTTCCTGTGTAAGCTCCTCCTAATAGTCAACAAACCCCCAACCCTCTGAAACATTGTCTTCACCCTCCTGTGGGACCCTCTCTCTGTGTCCGAATCTCCCGAGCAGTCAAAGTCCTCCGACCTCCTCACCCAAAACATCCCTCTTTCCCTAGCCGACTGTGGGGTCCGCGGCTCGGACTTAGGTGTCTCTGCATTCGTGTCGAATATCGAACCCCTCAATGCCTCCGCCTTCACGGGATCCTCGTCGACCTCCCTCTCTCCTTCCGGTTCGTTCATAAACTTCAAGTCCTCGAGATTGAAACTAAAGTTCTTGTCCATATTATACTCATTCTTTCCCTCCAAATTCTCCTCCTCTTCCTCTTTCTCTTCCTCCTCCTCATCATTATCATCATCATCATCAAAGTCATGATCGTTTGACTTGAACTCGGTGGAGGCCCGTGAGAGAAGAATCTTCAACTGTCTCGCGTTCTCGTGGGCTGCGGCTTCGCTCATCCTCAGCCGCTCGTTCTCCCGAGTCAAGAAGTGGAGGCGCTCGTCTTTTTCCGAGACGGAGTCTTGTAGGAGGGAGTTTTCCTCGCGGGCGATGCCGGAGGCCGCCTTCGCTGCGTTCGACTCGTTGACCGCTTGCTTGAGGATGTCTCGTAGCTTGTACGTCTCTTCCCGGGCGGCCCGAGTCATGTTCTCCGCAGCCTTTAGGGACTCCAAGAGCCTCGAGTTCTCGCGTTGGGCCACCACCCGTTCCTCCTCGGCCCGTTTGATGCAGCTCACGAAGCCCATCTCTTTCGCGTTCAATGTGAGGAGGGTCTCCTCGGCCTCGAGCCGGAGGCGGTCCGCCGTGTTCTTGTGGAGCTCGGCTTCTTGATTGGCCTCGTGGAGCATTTTTCTCAACCGCTCGGTTTCGAGTTTTGTGTGGTTTAGCTCGGCTTGCACGGACTCGAGTTTTTCCTTGGCTCGGTTGGACTCGGTGGCGACTTCTTTGAGGGCTAGAGCTAAGTCCTCCATGGCTTTCGCGCTTTTTTCCTCGGACTCAATTGCGAGCCGCCACTCGTTCCGGATGACTTGCATTTCTTCGCGGAGGATCTTTTCGGCTTTCTGAGCCGATTGTAGCTCGATCCTGAGTCGGGCAATCTCGTTTTCTTCTTCTTCTTCTTCTCCTTTCGAAATGCTGTTTTCTTTGTTGTAACTACTATTTTGAGCGGATAGTTTTTCTTCTAGAGACCCGATTACTTTCCGTAGGGTGACGGTCTCGATCTTGGACCTCTCGAGCTCTTTGGCTTGGAAGGCCAAGGATTCCGACATTCTCGATTCGGATGCCTTTTGTCTCTCGAGCTCGTCTTGGAGGTGTTGAACCCGTTTCATACTCTCGTGTAGGGATGCATTCGCACGTCGTTCGCTGTCCCTCGAAACGCTTAATTCATTCTTCATTGCATCGAACGATGTGGCGACTCGGCTTGCTTTCGCGAACTCGGATTCCAAGGAGTCGATCATTGTGGTCTTGGTTTTTGACTCGTGTTGCGAGGCTTCTAGCAATTTTCGCGCGTGTTCGAGTTCGGCTCGGAGCTCGTCGGCCCTGTTGTTGTGGGGTAAGGCTTCCTTTGCTGCCTTGATGTAATTGGCCTCTTCTTTTGCCCTTTTAAGCTGATCAAGCATTTGTTTGTTTTCGAGTTTAGTAATGTCGAATTTCTCTTTGGTCCTCCTCAACTCCTCTTCCATCTCCCCCATCTGCTGCTGCTGCATTGTCGTCATAATGTGGGCCCGGTTCTATACCACCCCACCAAAAAAAAAAAAAAATATACAAAAATGAAAAAGCAAAAAGATTATCAGTAAATGAAAAAATACAATGGGAATTACACATAGGTATGTTATGTTCATTCGATTTCTTACATGGAGATGCCACGGTCCCGTTACGGATCCATTTCGTTGGGTTTGTAACCGTTGGATTAACTATCCCGACGATTGCATGATGACCTAACGGTTACAAATCTCGACGGAATGGTTCCGTTAGGGGACCGCAGCATTTCCCTTTATTACATGGGATAAACATGAAACCTTTGAATTAAGGGCCTCCGCATCAATTTGTGTCCCTATAACATCGCCTCTGCAAAGCTTTGATGCAGAAAGTGTTCTTGAAAACACCGATGAATAATTCTTCTTCTTCTGTGTAATATCAACAGAATCTAATCTACAAACCCACCACAAAATCACATATATTCAATTATCAAAGATATCTTTCATTCTAACACGCTAATTAAAAATGGTATATATATACAATAGTATTCAAATAATTATGGAAAGAACAAGCAAAAATAAAAAAATATATAAATAAATTAGGAGATATAGCATATGTATCCTCCGAAAAAACCTCTGTAAACACAAAATATATAAACCAAAAGAAAATAACGTAAATTGTTTCAATGATAAATTAAGAAGATAAAAAATAAAAATATTGAGAGAACAATAATATATATATGCATGTTGTATAGTACCTTGTTTTGGAACGTAACATTTTTTTTTTAATAATTCCG